GAAACTCCGTCTCAAAAAAAAATAATAATAATAATAATAATAAGTAAAATAAAATAAAATTGCTTCGGACACTTTTTTTTTTTTTGAGGCAGTGAACTGAGATTGCACCACTGCACTCCAGCCTGGCGGCTGGCGACAGAACAAGATTCTGTCTCGGAAAAAAAAAAAAAAAAAAAAAAAAAAAAAAAAAAAAAAAAAACAATTCTATTATGAGGGGTTCAGGACAGCCTAGTTTTGTTAGAGGCTGTATTGTAGGAAAGCTTATGTTGGTATGCCAAATGCTGGACCATTTTGAGTGCCCATATACCAGCTCAAAAGACTGCTCCTGAGAGCTCTAGGCTTCCTCAGCTCCTCGAATGGCAGCCGATTGTGAAGGAAATAAAGACAGGGCCAGAGTAAATTTTTTAATAAGTACATTTATTCTGACTAGATTGTAAGCCCCAGGAGGACAGAAGCATAATTGTAATTTCTGTCCCCTGAGTCAGGGTATATTGAGTAGAGTGGAACCAGGTCGTAAATATACATTCTGTTGGTTAGTTTTAGTTTTCTGTGGATCATTAAAGATCAGATTTTTAAATTGGATTTCAGAGACTGACAGTAGTGACTTACATTTTGGTGTTTATTCTCTATGTTTTTAGTATTCATATTTACTAACAAGCCAGCTGGAATCTCAGCGAATCTACTGGGAAAACAAGATAGTTCGGATAGAGAAGGACACAGCAGAGGAAGTAAGTAAGTCTGTTTGGTTTGGTGTCTGCTGAAATGCCACATGGCAGGGTACTCTGATGGGTATTGTGGAAGGCAGAGTACAGGAAAGAGGAATCTTAACATCTTCCCTTCTCAGTTGGATAACAGTTGGAGAATTGTTTTGCCACTAAAAAGAAACTTTGGATTTAAAGGCTTGACTGTTTTGGTATTTTGAGGTCTTAGGGGGCTTTGTTTGCTTTTTTTTTTTTTTTTTAACCTCAATCTGGTTTTCTAATGCCTGTGCAGTTCAATTAAAAAGTACGAGTATGTACATGAGGTTTTGTTATTTGAGTCAGGCAGTTGGTTTGTCAGCTTGGGAACAGCTGCCTTTGGGGCTGAAAATGGACTTCTAAGGCAATGAAATGGTGCAGAGCCCTTCTAAATGGAAGGAAATAAAATTGGGCAGAGATATTGGCGCTTCATTATTCACCCTGAAGGACCAGGGCAGCAGTTTTCAAATTCTAACAAAATAATTCTTTAAAAATGGTGCCATTCACTATTTTAGCAAAATTAAAAAGTGGTTTGATTTTGGTGGAACTCAGATGGAAGGCCCAGAGGTCTGCCTGCTTGGCTTTCCCCTTGTCTCCACTATGCGCAAGGAACCCTGAGAGTTCTAAAGAAGGCAGTCTGAAAACTAGTAAGCACCTGTGTATAATTATGGATCTAGGAACCTTTCTGTGGACATAGGGACAGTTTCTCTGGACATAGGGACATTATCTGTAATTCAATGATTCCCTTAGTATGAAATAAAATCTTGTAAAATTTCTCAACAATGGCTGGGCATGATGGCTCATACCTATACTCTCAGCACTTTTGAGAGGCCAAAACGGGTGGATCACCTGAGGTCAGGAGTTCAAGACCAGCCTGACCAACATGGTGAAACCCCGTCTCTAAAAAAAAAAAAAAAAAAAAGAAAAAGAAAAAAAGTTTTCAGCGATTACTTCAGTAGCTTTGTGAGTCCCCCACCTATCCTTGGGCCTTCAGATAAGCAGTACAGAGCCCACCTCTGAGCTGGATAGGATTATCCTGGAGCTTAGCAGGCAGAACCAAGGGCCCCAGTTTCTGGGTATGCCATAAATGGGCGAAAACAAGGTTTTTTAAAATTAATGCTTAACGGGGCCGGGCGCGGTGGCTCAAGCCTGTAATCCCAGCACTTTGGGAGGCCGAGGCAGGTGGATCACGAGGTCAAGAGATCGAGACCATCCTGGTCAACATGGTGAAACCCCGTCTCTACTAAAAATACAAAAAATTAGCTGGGCATGGTGGTGCGTGCCTGTAATCCCAGCTACTCAGGAGGCTGAGGCAGGAGAATTGCCTGAACCCAGGAGGCGGAGGTTGCGGTGAGCCGAGATCGCGCCATTGCACTCCAGCCTGGGTAACATGAGTGAAACTCCGTCTCAAAAAAAAAAAAAATGCTTAACATCAGCTTTACAGGCATAGTGTCTCATGCCTGTAATCCTAGCACTTTGGGAGGCTGAGGCAGGTGGATCACTTGAGGTCAGGAGTTTGAGACCAGCCTGGTCAACGTGGGAAAACCCAGTCTCTAATAAAAATACAAAAATTGATCGAGTGTGGTGGCAGTCACCTGTAATCCCAGCTACTCAGGAGGCTGAGGCAGGAGAGTTGTTTGAACCCAGAAGACAGAGGTTGCAGTGAGCTGAGATTACGCCACTGCACTCCAGCCTAGGCAACAGATCAAGACTTCGTCTCAAAAAAAAAAAAAATCGGCTTTAAAATGATCTTCAGTTAAAAGTTATTGATGAAATTCTTACAAGAGCCTTCTAATCAACACAAGTGCCCTTCCAAAGGCACTGGAGGTCACTTGACTACTAGTTCTGAATAGGGCTTGATTAGAGTATGTGCAGGGAGGAGCGCCACCCAGTGCTCTCAGAGGCAGAGCACAGGTCATTGCCTCATGGCATAAAGTCATGGCTCACAGGAAAGTGCATTGACACCTCTGCTGCGGCTGCACTAATGGGTTTTTCCATGGGATATACCAGCGTGACTATCTCAAGTGCTTCATGCAGATCCTTGAGAGCTAAGCTTTGGATTCTCTCTGCCCTTTCAGATTCTTTAGGATTAACTGCATTCCCTAAAACATGCCAGTGAAAAGCAAGTCAAAGGGCAGGGAAATGAAACACTGAAACTCATGTTTGCTTTTAGGTCAGGATAAAATGGAAGCCAGAGCAGCTCTAAATAAAAACCTTGGGGGTGCTTGAAAGGATGCTTTTGTTTTCTGGTAACAAATGTCACTTATCCATAAGTTAATGGACGATGCAAGCCATTTGTTCTGCCACCGTCCTCCTTTTGGCTAGTTCCTTGTCCGTTAGCACCCCCAGCAGTAGAACATGTTCAGGGAGAAACAGTAACCCGAACCCTGGGTCTCACTGACAGAGATTTTTGTTCTTGGGCCTCCTGTGGATGAGGAGGATCAAGGTTGAAATTCACTGCGGGCTTCAGTTATAAACACCGCTTCTTTCCCCCAGTGCCTTAAGTAGTGCTGTTACTAAAGCATGTGAGCAGAGCCTATTCTAGACAATGAAGCTCACAGATACTTGAAGTTTCTTAGTTTTCATAGGATCATGTGTGAAGAACACATCGTAGGCAGAGGCAGTCGTAAGGTGAACTCCCCTAAAAATGCATCTTTTCTTGTGGATGTCTAGCTCCATCTCAACCAGTATTTTTCCAGCTGTGGATTGTAAAATGAGTTTGGCAGTCCACAACTGGCATTTTTATTACATAGATAGGGTAGATGTAAATATTAGGGTGTATCACAATTAATATTGTTTTGTGAAACTTGTTTTACTTTTGTGTGTGTCATGGGTGTTTCTTACTGTGTGCTAATGGTCAGAAATTTTCATTTGTTTTTTGAAATAAGATCTCACTCTGTTGCCCAGGCTGGAATGCATTGGCATCATCACAGCTCACTGCAGCTTCAGGCTCAGCCTCTGAGGCTCAAGTAGCTGGGACCACAGGAGGATGTCACTGTGCCTGGCTGATTTTTAAAAATTTTTGCGGCCGGGCGCGGTGGCTCACGCCTGTAATCCTAGCACTTTGGGAGGCCGAGGCGGGTGGATCACGAGGTCAAGAGATCGAGACCACACTGGTCAACATGGTGAAACCCCGTCTCTACTAAAAATACAAAAAATTAGCTGGGCATGGTGGCACGTGCCTGTAATCCCAGCTACTCGGGAGGCTGAGGC